TTTGGGTTTTCGGGTTTTGGGGTTTTGTGGGTTTCGGGTGTTTAGGGCTTCAGGGTTTTGGTGTTTTTCCGGTTTTGGGCTTGGGGTTTGAGGGTTTAGGGTTTAGGCTTCCGGGTTTTCGGGTTTCTAGGGCTTGGGGGTTTCGGCTTTTGGGGTTTGCGGTTGAGCGTTCGATTAGGGTTTCGGGCTTAGGATTTAGACTTCGGTGTTTTTGCAAGGCTTCCTGGAAGAGTTCATAACGGGTTCTGTCACAAGGGTTCCCCTTTAAGGGTACTACAAGGGTTCTGTTACTCTGAGGTCTTAGGGTTTTCGGTTAGTTTTAGGGTTTGGGGTTTAGGGTTTAGGGTTTAGGGATTTAGGTTTGAGGTGTCAGGTGTTCAAGTTCAAACCCTCTGTCCGAAGCCCTAGACCCCAAATCTAACGCAACCCTACAAAGCCCCAAACCCTAAATCTCACTAAACCCTACAAAGCCCCCAACCCTAAATTTCACTAAACCCTACAAAGCCCTAAACCCTAAACCCTAAATGTCACTAAACCCTTCAAAGCCCTAAACCCCAAACTTTAAGTCTCACTAAACTCTCCAAAGCCCTAAACCCCAAACTTTAAGTCTCACTAAACCCGACAAAGCTTCCCGAAAACCCTAAACCCTAAACCCTAAACCCTAAACCCTAAACCCTAAACCCTAAACCCTAAACCCTAAACCCTAAACCTTAAACCCTAAACCCTAAACCCAAAAGAGGATGGATGTCTTCAGTTGGGGCTGCGCTGTCGCTGCCGGCTCGCAGTGCCGCAGAGCCTTAGGGTCGTAGGACCGGGGGACTAAGTTTGTAGCATAGGGTTTAGGGTTTAGGGTTTAGGGTTTAGGGTTATAGTATATAACCATAGTAATAGTAACCTATGGCGTATATCCCTGGGTATACTGTTCTTTATATCGTTAAGGTTTGTAGCACTGTATTATAGTAGTAAAGGGTAGCAGACTCGAACGGTAGATGAGGAGGCCAGGGCTCCCGTAAGGGCTGTGCAGCTCTAAGGCTTCCCCTTTAGGCTCCTCCGAGGCAGGTTAGGGCTTTGAGCGCAGTCGAATTGGCACTTAGCGCTGTTTCAGTTGAATCTTAATACCCCCAAACCCAAGGCTTAAACATATTTCGGGGTCTAAGCTGCGCCAGTGTGCCGTCCTCCGATGACACAGGACAGAGACCATGCTACCTCTCAGACTGCCGCCGATGTTGATATGCATGTCGTCAGTCAGCCGAAACCCTAAACCCCAAACCCTACACCCTAAACTGGATAAGTGCTGTTCCGCAGTCGCTCTCCTCGCCCTTTGACAGCTATCTTTTCTGCCAACACTAACATTGCATTTCGTGGGTATCGGCAATATCATCCGGATCATTAGTGATCATTAGTGGCGGCACGCCCATTGGTTATCAGTGATGGGTCGGTTTCTGCATGGCGACATGTTTGTGAGAGAACGTAACCCTAAACCCTAAAGCCTCAGTTGTTTTATGAGTTTTCTGAATATACAGGCATGGGGATAGTATCCAGTGACTTACGTGCCCCGAGGAACACGTCCAAGTCCATGGGTAAGAGTGGGGTTGCTGTAAGAGTGTTTGTTTAGGGTTTAAGGATTCAGGGACGTCTGCCATACAAGCGTCTCGACAGTTCTGATTTTGAACGGCTTGGCTTGGCTCGGGGTTGCTTGGCTGGTTCTGGCCGTTCCCAGCCTTTGATCGTCGGCCGGCATGCATTTACCTTCAAGCGACAGCAGACACCCCATGTCGGCATCGACGCCTTCCTTTGGCTCTTCGGCCATGAGCTACCCTTTTTCTGGTGCCTTGGTGTGCTTCGATGTGTGCTTGGTGAGCGGGCGAGCTGCAGTCATCTCCTGCACAGAGAGCGAGAGGCTGCAAGACATGCAGGTGCGCATTGCCGGAGTTCTGGACCTGAGTAGGGACGACGAGAGTCCACTGTTGCAGTTTTTCAAGCAGGCAGACTCAGAGAAGGAACCCCTGGACCAGAATACCCGTGCCGCAGAGATTGTTGGTTGTACAATACATGTCGTGTTGCAAGAACATCCTGACTGGTATGTGCAGAAGTGTTTTTCGAGACGTCGCACGGCCCAGTTGAATTGGGATGTGGACGAGGAAAGGACAGAAAGGTTGTTGTTGCTTCCAGATGGCCAGTTCACGTATGAGATGCGCAGACTTGCATGGGATGAGGACGTCGGTCGACTGGCTGTCAAGGAGGATACACTTCACGGCACGGGGAGATGGAGATGTGTGCTGCAGGTTGGTATGCCGGGCACATTGCCCGAAGAGGTTTTGCTTTTGGACGGCAGTGCAAGCTGGCTGTCGCCTGGACGGGGTGGGCGCCCAGCCTCCCGACGCATCCGACAGGCTCTTCCGAAAGTGGCCCTGAAAGAATACGAGATTTCGCAGATGTTTCACTAAGGAGATTCCGGGTGGCCATTTGCGCGTGAGACGTGCCATGCTGGCAAGATTGCGCTGCAGATGCCGCCATGCCACTACAACTTTTGTAGGCCCACACCACCAAAACCACATGGATCATGAACCGTTCGATGTTTGATTTTCCACTTTCTCGAGCATGTCTGTGAACAGACATGTTTGCAGTAGGGTTGAGGTGAGGAAACTCTTTTTTTTGGCAGGTGTTGCGTCAGTGCACCATTCAGGATGGGTGTGCACTGGACCCAGGAGTCAATGCAGACAGACAAAACCAACACGTCGTGATTTCTGCGGCACAGCCTCTAGATTCCAAACAAGTGCCGAAGGTCAATCTTAGTACTGCTGCTACTGCTATTGCTTCAGCCACTACCATTACCACTACCACTACCACTGCCACTGCCACTGCCACTGCCACTACCACTACCACTCCACTACCACTAGCGCCAGCACCAGCACTAGCACCAGCACTACCACCACCACCGCCACCACCACCACCACCACCACGACCAAGACGACGACGACGACTACTACTGTACTACTACTACTACGACGACGACGACGACTACTACTACCACTACTACGACGACGACGACTACTACTACTCCTGCTGCTGCTGCTGCTACAACAACAACAACTACTACTATTACTATTACTACTACTACTACTACTACTACTACTACTGCTGCTGCTGCTGCTGCTACTACTACTACTACTACTACTACTACTACTGTCACTACTACGACGACGACTACTACTACTCCTGCTTCTGCTGCTGCTGCTACAACAACAACTACTACTATTACTACTACTACTACTACTACTACTACTACTACTACTTCTACTACTACTACTACTACTCCTCCTACTCCTGCTGCTGCTGCTGCTGCTGCTACTACTACTACTACTACTACTACTACTACCACTACTGCAACTGCAACTACGACTACTACTACTTCTTCTTCTTCTGCTACTACTACTTCTACTCTTGCTGTTTTTGCTGTTTTTCTTACTGTTCATGTTATTTTTCGTCATATGACATGTTTATTGCTCTTGCTGTTACGGCTATTGTTATTGTCATTGTCATGGCCAGTGTTATTGTTGTTGTTGCTCTTATTATTATTGTTATGAATGCACTATTATTCGTACCGTTTTGAATGTTGTCATTGCCTTACGTTTTGCTATGTTCGTTATGATTTTAATTCTCGTTCCGGTCATTACCACACCGTAATTGCTAATATCAATATTCGCATCGTTATGTATTGCTACCGTACTAGTATCGTTGTTAGTACAAATACGATTATTATGGTTATTACTCTGTATTTTATATGTTCGTCACTTGAATGCTTATGATGATTTCTTTGTGGTGTCCTTTGGTTTGTTTTCCGAAGTTGCGTGTGCTACATTAAACATTACTTTCTAGCTGCGGAAGACACCTGTCGCCGCCTGAGAAAAGCTCTCTGGCGAAGGCCTCGTTCAGCCAGGGGGGGAAGATGCGGCTGCCTTTCGATGCGACGTTGAAGGCCCAATGCCCGGGACCCGGCATGCACAGATTGCCTCGCCGCAACTTTCTGTAAGACAGGGTCTTATCATAGTGCGAAGGCTAGCCAAGGCGGAACCAAAGTGATTGATGGCAGACTCTTGCCATGTACCTCCAAGCTAAATTCCGACCGTTCATCTTTGATAGGGACAGGAGCGATTGAGGCGTGGTTCAGTTCAGCGGTTCTTAACGTCTGCAACAGCATTCCTTCTGACAATCCTTGCGATGTTGGTGATGAAGAACGAATTGATCTCTCCAGGTATTTGGTGTGGCGGTGATAATGATGGTGATGATGCTGGTGTTAGGATTGGCCGAAGTCCTGATGATGGCCATTGTAATCGCCAACAACATCCTGCTCCCCAGGTGGCACAAGACCAGACTGCGAGGCCGGCAAGACTCCGGAGGTTCAGGTTCAGAATAGATGTCTTCTTGGCAGGCTTGGCTGAACCCTAAACCCTAAACTCTAAACCCTAAACCCTAAACCCTAAACCCTAAAGGCAGGTTTGGCTGGCATGACAGCCAACGAGATCTACCTACAGGGCTCCAGGGCAGCTGGAGATTTTTGGACTGTTCATTCGGTCAATGAGAACTGTAAACTAACGGCTGCTACTGTTATATACAATGCCATTCTCCTTACTATTGACATTAGTTCTTTTCGTTTGGGTTTCGGTTTGAGGGATCAGGTGGTAGATTTACGACAAGTACACTCCATGTACTCCTCAAGAATCGTATAATAAATGCTTCGTGCTAGGGTTTATGGTTTAGGGAGCTTAGGGGACAGCGTGCAGAACGGTTTGGGGATAAGCATGATGTCTCCTCAATCCCCAGCAATCCGAAGAAGCCACTGCCTGCACTGAACCGACGCTTGCTTTGATGAGATCTGCTTTGTGGTTCATTTCATTCGCTTTGCTCGCTTTTCGTGTGATTGATGTTGTTGCGACTCTTGTGTCTATGTCTAGGATCGTTGCACAATACTCACTATGATATTGTTGTTACGAACAGTGGTTTTGGGTGCTCATCATCGTTCAACCATCATCACCATCACCATCATTGTCTTTATCATAGTCATAGCAGTGCACCCTGATCGTCATTTTTCCTCAGTACCCTTATCCGGATCTTACTTAACCCTATACTCAAATCTTCAGCCCGATATAGAACCCTTGTGAAACCCGTGTGAGACTGTTGTAAGCCTCTCACGACGCCCTTCTGTAAATCCTAAATCCTGCTGCCAGGTGGGCCTCTTCCAGCTCAGCCCGGAAGCTTCGCGAGAGGAGGGGCTCGTTTCGTATGTATACCTTGTTATGTCATATTATCTCGGAGTGCATGGTATGATAGGATATGGTATGGTATGACATGCCAAATATCCAAAGTCACTTTGGTAAGTCCCAAGGCCGCAGAATTGATGCGCCCACTGAGTACATCTTTAATTTCAGACGGTGTCACAAACATCTTGCATGCTAGACCAACACTGCCCTAGGCCTCCTAGAATTGTGGAATTAACCTTGAGCTGTGCCAGGCGTCTTGCATGCTGAGCTTATGAATGACATGTTTCCTTCCAGGACCTTCGAGGACTCTTGGGCCATGTTCGCAAGAACTGCGAGGATTGCTCCCAGATGCCAAGGGTGCTTGAAAGGTCTAGCATCTAGGGTTCCAGGGTTGAGGGCCCCATGGGGTTTAGCATATCAGCAAGCCGAATACACTGGCTCTCAAAAAAGCCATCAAGACCCACAGGTTTCAGACGTTCCAGGTTGGTTTGAGGACTAGTTCCCCAAACTACAAAGCCTCAAGCCGTCAAGACCACACGGTTCTAAGCCCCAGAACCCTGAGTACGCAAACCCTTCAAACCCAAAATCCAAATTGCTCAGATGGTCACAAACCCTACTCATCATGGTCCGTCTGATTTGTGGTTTGTTACGGCTATAGTAGAATACCATGAGATTAAGGCCATCAGCGGCATTACTGGTGCTGTTTATTGGTATGCAAAAACTTTGTCATTGTCATCGCAGTGTTTCTTACCGATACTGTTCTGACTATTACTACCCATTTCGCTCCAAGCCCTTCGAGAACTCTTGCGGGAACCCGTGCAGTAACCCTCACAGGAACCTCATGGGAAGTTCTGTAAATTAGGGTATCGCTTTAGGTACCCAAAATTGTCCGGCACCCTTATAAACAGCGCCCTCAAAGGGACCCTGCTTTAGGGAACTACCCTCCATGTTTAAGCCTGGTGAGACCTGTACTGTAGGGAAGCCTTCTGAAACGCTGACAATGACCTTCGTCGAAGCCTTGCCGCCAACCCTTCTTGAAACCCTGAGAGCAATCTCCGGCCCTGAACCCCGAACTCTTCTAGCAATCCCCCGAATTGTGGAAACCCGTATAGTGAAGTAATCCCCTCTAAACCCCAAAGCCACCTAATGCCTTCCAGGAATCCCCTTGTTACGGCCACTGAATCCTAAACCCCGAAACCCTAAACCCTCAAAGCCCAAAGCCCGAAACCCCCTTATAGATCCCTTTATGGGAACCCTTATCGGAACCCTAGAGCCCGTATAGATCTCTTTGTAGGAACCCCTTGTGGGACCCGTAAACCCTAAACCCCTAAGCCNNAAACCCCCTAAACCCTCTAAACCCCTAAACCCCTAGTTTTGAGAACCCTAGAGCCCCTGAGCCAACCCTTTCCTCGCATCTGAAGAGCCCAAGGAGCGAGAGGAAGAGATCCTGGGCGCCGGGGCCTTTCTGAGGATTTAACATAATTGGGGTTTAGGGTTTAGGGTTTACTATTTTTAAGATTTTGGGGTTCTTTCAAGGGATCCTTAAAGGGTTCTATAAGGGATCTATAATCGGGTTCTATATTAGAGGCCTTAATAAATTAGAATAGGGTGTTGGGGCCCAGTATACTGTAACTATAATAAAGAACCCCCCAAAATATTATTGGAAATTATTTAGGCCGCTACATTAGAGGACTTATTTGGGGTTTAGGTCTTAGAGTCTACGGTTGAGGGTTCCGGGTTTAGGGTTTGGAGCTTTGGGTTTAGGGTTTCGGGTCTAGGATTTAGATGCTAGGGTTTACATGCAGAGTTTCGAGTCTAGGGTTTCGGCTTTGGGGTTTAGGGTTTAGGGTTTAGGGTTTAGGGTTCCACTGATGATGTGCAACAAGGGTTGCTTTGAGGCTAACGAACTAAATGGTCGCGTGACAGGGTTTGAATTACTTTCTCCAGCTGCTAGAGGGATTACTTTACTGGTGTCTTTTCTGGGTCATTATCAGGTATACGACGACAAAAGAGTACATTAAAGGCCGCTACGTGGATGTGGGAGGTTCGGGGTCTGGAGTTTGGGGTTTCAGGTTTGAGGAGTCTGGGAAGTCGGATGGAGGTTGAATGTACGCAGGTGGCTTGGGGGCTTACCCATAGGCCCCATAGCAGTTCCTTTTTGGGGTTCATATTTATAATCCTATAAGGTAATCCCCAAAAGGAACTACTATGGGGCCTACGTGTAAGGCTTAGGGATTCTTTGGAGACGGTTTGGCAGACTTAAGCTCCGTGCGTTCGTGGCCACCCTTCAAGAAAGAGTAAACGCAGTAACGCGAAATACTTAACCATGTGTATACCATTTACAAATGTCGAAACGGATACTTATACCATTACCCATGACTATACCTAAACATACACACGCACACACACACACACACACACACACACCCACACCCACACCCACACCCACACCCACACCCACACCCACACGCACACGCACACGCACACGCACACGCACACGCACACGCACACGCACACGCACACGCACACGCACACGCACACACACACACACACCCACACTCACACACACACACGCACACACGCA